CGTTTCGATGTGGATTAATAATTGGTCAATTTGTTGTAGAAACCACGGGGCGGAGTTTGAAGCACAAGGTGTTGCCTTTAAAGACAACTCATCAGACAGCACACTTGATGATGACGGGAAGCTAAGCGATATACGCTTGGAGGAAATCCACGAGAAAGCTTGAGAGCTTCATTATTCCGAGGAAACGCACATTTTAATGTTCTTGACGGCCCTCCCACTGCAGTGAAATTTTAATATATACATAGTCTTCCTAGATGAAGATTTTGTACATCCTACATTCTGTCTGTCCCTTCTATTTTCATTGCTTGAGGAGGGGGTGTGTATGTGTATGATAAAGGTCCATAATGATGATGATGGTGATTCCATTTCTACCTAAACTACTCTTTAAGAGCCGGTGTGCTTGCTTTGCTTGCCTTGCCTTTGATTGTCTGCATTTTGCATGTCCGCTTTCCTCTCAGACTCAACACAGCTAACGACGACAACGACCTTTTTGTATAAATTTTTTTTTTTTTGGTAAATGAAGAGAGAATGGGCAATCCAGCGTTTTTTTTTTTTTGGGGGGGGGGGCCACCCCCGTCCAACAAAAGAAAAACAAAAAAAAAAGGGCGACAAAATTTCTTGTTTTTTTTTTTCTGTTTAAAAAAAATTCTAAATAACACGTGATTTCCTTCCCTTTATTCTTCCAATTCCCCCCCCCTCCCCCCCTGCCCCGCCCCTCCTTTTTTTTTTCTTTTAAATTTAGGAAAGATCAAACCCTGCGCCTGAGAAAACGGCTTGAAGGAGCTTTCGGCGGAGGACGTTCTCGCTTTTGTAGCGCGGCAGCTGTGTGCAATTATGGGAATGAGGGGTTCAACAACGTTAACGACAAAAGTAGTTGATACCCCTTACCTTAAGCAAGTTCACACACGTGCTCGAAGTTGGTAGGCGATTCTCGTCGCCTCCTGCGTCGCGTATACAAAACTTGGGTACCAGACCGCTAAATCCTCTGCGAAGAAAAAAGGTAAGGTGGAAGTGGGTGGGGTATCGTCAGCTTCTACCAGTGAGCGCACGTAATGACCGGTACACACAGAAGAGGTGGTCTTCCGACGCTCGTCACGAAGCGTAATAACGCTCGACGTTGTTCGGGGTCGAAACTTTCAACGACCTGTGAAATAAAGGGAACAAAAAAAGGACAAATTAATAAATAGTCTTCCCCCCCCCCTTTCCCTCCCCCCGGACGTACTTTCCAAAATGCAACGATGGTCGGTTCTTGATCGTCGTATAACCCACCGTAATTGGTGTTCCGTCGTAGATCTTCCAAGTCGATGGGGGTGTTCACGCCGCCTAACAAAACCTGTAATTCCTGTTGGTTGAACATCCTGCGGATGGCCAAACGAGAGGTCGTTAGAAAGAGGGGGGAGCAGGGGGGGGGAGGAAAGCGAGTAGAAGAACGTACCGGAGCCACCTTGGGTCGATCATATCTGAGAGACCGTCAAAGAACGCGTCACTCTGCTCCTTGATCTGTTTCGTGAGGCGGTAATGCGACACCCGCAGGATATACTCCAGTTTGTTGTCTCGCGTGACGGGGATGTTGCTGCCGTTTGGTTTGAGGTCGATGGTCCGCGCCACACCAAACTCTGCTCTAAATATTGAGCAACACAAAACTCTCTTTCGCTTTTTCTCCCTCTTTTTAGATGGGGTCTGGGATTATCATCCTCCCCCAACTCACCTTCATCGACGATAGTAAAGTTTAGCGAAAGCTCTTCTGGGTTCCCGGGGTAGTGCTTTAGGAATATAAGGCCCTGGTACAAGTCAGGGTCGAGCGAGGCCAGATCGTCTAGGAAGCTCTGCTTGCCCAGCCACTAAGATTGGAAAATCGTATTAACGTCGGGGGACAACAATCGGGGGAAAGTCAAGACAAACCTTGGAGAGGAAAAAGCCCGCGAACGCGACGTCTACCAGGATTCCCTCGTACAGTGCCTTTCCCAAAATTCTGCCAATGAATCGGTACCAATCGAGGCTATGTGCTTCAGGAAGGTGAGACGCTGTGACACGGTAAGCAATGCGGGGGCACAAATGTTACTTACGTTCGGTCGCGTAGGCGCCGTGGCTGGGATACAATTCATTCTTTTTGTTAGCAAGCCAAAGTCCTCTGTCGCTGTCAAACACCTCCTTCGAGAGTTCGGTCAAGAACTCCTTGAAAACGCCACCGCCATCGATGCCCATCCTGAGCGAAAGCCAATCCATCAGCAAAAAGCGTTGCAAGGAGGGCCCCGAGCTTGAGTGTGGATATATAGATGTGTGTGTATCTCCTGTGCGGTACTCACTCCTTTTCACCAAACTGATCAATGAATGTTATCTCGATGGAACGTTTCAAGTTGGCGTCCCCAAGTTTGTCGAATCCGTCTTCAGCGACGTGACCGCGACGCACGGTAGCGCGCGTGCGCGTATGAAATTCCTCAAACGAGCGCACGTCTGACCCGACCTTGCGTTTATCATTCTCGATGAACGACCTGAAAATCTTGACGCGCGCTTCGAAAGGGATGGCAAACGGTATGTTGTTGAGCACTCCGAGTCGAGGCGAGAGATACGCGATAGCGCGTTTCGTGAGGGGACGCGCGCCGACAGGTTCCACGAGTTGCTGCTCCTCGACTCTTTGGAATTAATGAGCTGACATCGGGTGAAACGACGGGAGAGAGATGGAAGCTCACACAGCGGCCTCGACGAACGACGCGATATCGATGCGCTCCTCCACAAGCCAGTGGCCGGGGGGCATGAAAGACCGTCGCGAACTGTAAGAACCCGTAAATAAATAAGTTCATTTAAGGAAGCGAGCGAGCAACGGCGCGTACTCTCGTGAATGAACTGCTTGCAGAAAGCGTATGACTTTTCGCCGCACGCTATCCCATGTGATATTCAGGCCGGGGACATAGCCATCCTGAACACCGAATTGGTCTTCTCTCCAAAAGAGCGTGAATGCGATGTTCAGGAGCTTCCGAGAAAGCGAAATGATCTCATCCAGGTAAGAGGGTTGCGTGGGCCGTTCGGGCGGGCTGGCGCGCCAAGATTGGAGAAAAACTCGTCGTCCCCCATGGTGAGAAGCGAGTGCGTATAGAGATCGGTCAGGAAAAGTAACGGGGCCAATTGTCCGCATTCGCGGCATCTAAAAGTGAGTGAGCGCGGCGTGCGAAATGGTATGGAAAGAGATGAGATACCTAAGAGTGTGGCAAGGCTATCTTCTCTCCCGAGCGGGGAGCTTCGCACGTGACCACGATATAACTCACGGACAAGTCCTCCACTGGTCGATACGACAATAGTACTGAGTACACTATCCGCACGAGAAGGCCATGCGGAACAAAGTGTGAAGAGAAATCACAGAGAGCGACTCGTGCTGCCGCATGATTCTGCGTAGCGCGAATGAGAGAGTTGATATGAATCGGTGCGGGAAGTGTCTGCAGTCGCTTCGCGGTACGTTCATCTAGTCGAGGTAACCGTACCGGTGTTGCATACGAGGCGGAGGAGATCTGTATCGAGTCTTCCGAGTCCGAGTCGCTTTCCGAGACTGCGGCTTGTTTTCCTGTAGAGACAGAAGATTTAGGCTCCAGCGCACCAACAGGAAGGGTGCTCATGACCCCGGCCATAAGGCGTAAGAGAGTCATGAGAGACGCGGAAGGAAGTGTGGGATATCCGGGAGGCACAAAGGCAGCTAGGTTCGCAAGGAGGTGCAACTTTTCCTCTGCTCCAAGAACGGATACTATTTGGGGAACGGACGGGGACAAAACAGAAGCAGTGGCGAGGGTAGGTTGGCAGAAAGTTGAGCCAATGAAGTAAGGGGAAGTCGGTTAGGGAGGAGGGGAAGGGTTAATACGTGCTGAATGAACAGAGTGTATGCGTCTATGAATAAGTCTTGATGGGATGATCCAAACGTTCTTAGCGGGTAGATAAGGAGGGGACGAGAAGTGGGATTGATGGGGAACCTTTCTCGTCTATGGGCTACAGAATCACATCAGAAAACGGTCCACGGTTACGGGAGATGATCCTGACGCACAATATTTCCCAGAGCCTTCGATAGCAAAGGGTAGAACCCGCGCCGCAGGAGAAAGTTGGAGATGTTGATGCGCAGATCTTCCGAGCTCCTTCCTAGAGCTTGCGCGCTCGATGTAGGCGAAAGGACAGTGTCGAGGACCCGAAGGTGGTTTTGTGAAGCGGGAGCCCTAGACGGATTGTGATCAGAAGGATGCTCACACGACAGGCGAGCGAGGTACGTACCGTGGGGAGTATGCAACAGAGCGAAGGAGAAGAAGAGCCATCTGCCGAACCAGGACAATCCAGTGATCCAAATCGGGCCCATTGATGTAGTGTGATGACCAGCCTGGAGTTGGAAGAAAGAGAAAACGGTTAGTCAAGTCAGGTACAACCACGACGGTGAAACAGCGAGGACGAGCCCTGAGTTCAGGAGTAAGTGGCGAGACAAAATAAAAACGGGTGCACATTCGAATCTTTTGTAGGACGTGGGCGGAAATGTATGTAAAAAATCACGGCCAAAATGAAAGGCTTACCATCTCTTGCACTGATCACGGCATCAGACCACTGAGCGAGTAGCTGGTCATTATTCCCGATGAGAATGAGAGCGCGCATCCCATTTAACCCAAGTACATCCTCCTGAAACATCTGAAACAGGAGACGCTTGGTTGCGCGGGATTGCTGAAAACCGCGCCAGTGCCTCTGGATACAAAGTGCACTTTCATGACGGCGACGGATCTCTTCGCGTTCCGTTCTCCTGGCCTTGGCATTATGTAGTAGGTCCGTTTGTGAGGCCACTGAAATTGCACCTCCAAGGTTTATTTTCCTACGTTTTCTTGTGAAAAAGGGATCATGGAAGAGATGGGATGAGGGATGAAAAACGGAAACTGTCTGTCTGCCTTACGCGGCCACCTTACGCGGCCACCACAAAGACCACAAAGACCAAATGATGATATCACGGCATCACGGCCCGTTATGTCATCAAATAATAAAATAATTGACCCCGACCCGGATCGAACGGATGACCTTGAGGAAATCCCAATAAAACTGGAATCTCACGCTCTACCACTGAGCTACGGGGTCACACTAAAATAAATAGGGTCCATTCTCCCATGGGGGCCAGGTGTTGAGCCAGGACATGTCTTTTTTTTTCTTTTTTCAAATCAACTTTATTTGTGCTTCAAGGCCATGTCTAAATTGTGTGGCTACTACAGGGACTTAGTAACTACTGCTTCTGAGGATGATCAAGGAGTGCTAGACAGGAGGACTGCTAATGATGTAAAACCCTGGTAGAAAACAAGTAGAAATGAGGGTGAAGGTTAGAGCAAAGAGTGTTAGATGTTATGACCCTTGCTGCAGCCTGGCCTTTTCTCCAACCAGTACAGATTGTTGCCTTTGCCCCCAGACTTCTCTGCCCTGCCATTTACCTGATTGATTATGACTTACAGTGGGTCAAAAAACCATCCCAATGTTTGCACCATTTCTAGTATTCACTCTATAGCACCTCAGCATTTAGTATGATGTGGCAGTATGTCTGAAAGCCCTGCTTCCTGGCTATCATGTGATATTTGAATCAAAGCAGTTGGCCATTATATAAGCATGTTATGATCAAATCAAATCAATCAAACATTGGGACAGTTTTTTGACCCACCTTTTCAATTCACTATCTACCCAATTACAATTACTACTTTACAGTGCCTCACAAAACTGAGTCAATGTTTTGCACTTTTGCACTGTTTGTTGAATATCACATCAGCCAAAACAAATATAAACAAAGTCTTGGTATACCATAAAAGGAACAAGATAAGGGCTATGTAATGCAACAAGAATTATGTAAGTCTGATCAAACCTGTGGAGCTATGCCCATTTCAAATCAGGTGATGTGCCTGGCCTGGCTCAAAGCCAAGACTTAAAATTTCCTGAGCAGGTGTAATTTGTAGTAAAATAGACTAATACTAGGTAATCACTAATTGAGGGTACAGAAATACTATCACATTGAGACCAAGGTCGGAGAGGCCTTGTTGACGGCAGAACGACACACGAGGGGGAGAGTGGAGAGGGTGGAGTGAACACAGTCGCTGGTGAGCAGAAGAAACATGTCGACGACGACGATGGCATACAACTGCGGGTGGTGCGTCAATCCAACGCCGACTCAGAAATCCAGAATTGCCTGCTGGAGCCCCAAATATTTAAATTGAAGCGCTGAGCATGGGGTGCAGGCGTCAGTGGGCAGTCGATGGACTAAGAAAGGGTGGCGGGGCAGGCGCCACGCTTTGAGTAGGGCGGGGGGGGGGGGGGGGTAGTGAGGTATTAGAGGCTACATGGGTAAATTGCATGGCGGCGACTGCAGGAGCCTTGTCAGAGACTCAGACTTTGTCTCTGTATGTACATCGTCATAATGTGCTGGGTGAATAGCGTTCAGCATTCAGTCTATCGACATCGTGGACAAGCGGCCGTTCAAATGTACAGCACAGGCACATCCAAAGCCTCGCCAACCTGTGCAGATCATATCCTCACTATTTTCTTCTAACCCAAAGCTCGAACAGAAGCCCACACCGTCTGTGCCAAAGGCGCCGAGCAAACCGAGTAACGCACCGCTCACTGATTCCTCGACTTTCACCGGGCTTGGCCTCAACCCACTCATCACAACCCATATAACCACCAAAATGAACACTCACTTCGATACAGCGCGCATCCCTATTAGCACTATTATCACGGGACGGTTCTTCTTCCTCCTCTTTGCGAGATGCGTTCATCCAGTCACAGACGGGTTCGGGAAAGACGCTCTCATACCTCCTCCCCATTCTCCATGACCTTCTCCCCTTGAGCGCGAACTCATACATTGACCGTTCGATCGGTACCCTCGCCATCATAATCGCCCCCACACGTGAGCTTGCCAAGCAGATATCGGACGTGCTTGACGTGCTGTTGAAGCTCCGCTTGCGTCCGCTGGATGCTGCGCCCGATGATGAGGAAAAGAACGATAGCCGGCTCACCCGGTGGTTGGTATCGGGTCTGTTGACGGGTGGAGCGACACGCGCACACGAAAAAGCTCGCCTTCGGAAGGGTATACCCATCCTCGTCGCGACGCCGGGCCGTCTGCTCGATCATCTTCAGAACACGTCCTCGCTTGACACCAGCAAGTGCAGCTGGTTCGTGCTCGACGAAGCCGACCGGCTCATGGAGGTCCTCAGATGGGATTGGGACGTCAAGAGACACGCTATTCTTTGTTCGGCGACCATGCGTGAGGATGTCCAGGTCCTGGCCGGTACAGTCCTATATGACCCCATCATCATCAAGGCGACTGAACTGGATCTACCCAAACAAGAAACGACTGGAACCACTGAGGATGCCACCGCGTCTGCAACAGACCCAAAGTTCACACCGCCATCGCAGCTTTCGCAGAAATATATCATCGTTCCGCTCAAATCACGTTTGGTTACCCTCGTTGCTCTGCTTCGATCCTTACTGTCTCAGTCGGGAGGTCGACGCGGCTTCAAAATCATTGTTTTCCCTAGCCGCACCGACTCGGTAGATCTCCACTGGGATTTGCTTGGGGGGTCCACCATGGAATATGATAGCGAGAGAACCGACTCGGACGATGAGACAGCAGCGACTGTGGCGGCGGCAAGGACCACAGATAAAGTTGGCTGAATAAAGGTCCATTCACCGTTGCTTCCAGACACGTCTTTCTTCCGGCTTCACGGCTCACTTGCTCTGTCCACTCGTCTCGCCTCTCTACGTGCCTTCTCCGCCACCAACAAAACATCCGAGTTCTCCGACCGACTGGCATCCTTCTTTCTGTGTACAAGCGTGGCCGCTCGTGGACTTGACTTGCCGCGTGTACGCGCGGTCGTGCAGTACGATCTCCCGACTGAGGGTGGCACCACTGAATACGTCCATCGTGTCGGCCGCACGGCGCGCGCGGGTCGTGGTGGTCAAGCATGGGCCATCATCGCGCCAAGCGAGGAAAAATGGGTCGAATGAATGCAAGCACGAATGACCAGTGGGACGACGACGACGACGGAAGAAAGTAGCGCCGGAGCTGGCCACCAGTTCGAAGCTGTGGCTGTAGAAGAGATCTTACAGAAGGGATTTGGTGGACAGAGTAGGGAATACGAGGAACGCGAGACTGAGGTCCAGCTGGCATTTTGTCGGTGGTGTCTCCAAATGAAACAGGTACGTATGATGCCACCTCCCCCCGCCCCCTCTCCCCTTTTTGTTGGGTACTGACTTGTTGGAAACGCAAAAAAAAAACAATTAGAACGTCGATTGCTCGCAAGGCTTTCGCTTCGCATTTGCGCGCCTATGCGACTCACCCTTCGGACGAGAAACATATTTTCCATATACGACATCTGCACCTTGGACATCTAGCCAAGTCGTTCGCCCTGCGCGAGGCGCCCAGCACTGTGAGTGGGCATGGGCATGGGAAAGGTAGGGGCGCCCCGGGAGGTGCGAAGAAGAAGAAAAGGAAGGCACTTGGGCCAAATGAAAGTCGCGGTGATGATAAGAATAATGATGATAACGATGGTGAGGATGGTGATAAGTTAGATGCCGAACGGCGGATGCGAGCTGTTGTGCGCAGCCAGGGACGTCTTGTTAAGAAGGGGGGGTTATGGCGAGCTCAGGCACATCGGAATTCCAAATCGCGTCTGGCGATGGGCGATGCGCTGGAGAGGTTGGCTAATAGGACTTGAACATAACCACCACATACTATACCATTAGTGTTTGACCACGAACACTAGGTTAACCCGCCTGACTAACATTATATCATTATCATCTGACACGTGTGATGATCATGATTCATGATTTCATAATTCATGATGTGGAGAGCTAATATGAGCTCAGGGACTTATTAATCTGAACCGAAGGATTGGTATACTATTACCACCGCGTTCAACAATGAAATGTCAATAAGAAAAACGAAAGAAAATGACGAAAGAAAATAAAAACATGAGACGAAAGCGACAGCCACCATCAGTCCACCCCGAAGCGGCACCCATAAGCCCGCGACTCCCCATTGGTCAGGGGTAGTTCGTCTCGGGGACAGTACCCAGTCAAATGGATGGTATAAGAGTGGGATTTGGGACTCGAGTCGCATAACATAAACACCATTTCCAAATCGAACATGGCAGACAAGGCGTTTGAAATCGCCTTTTGGTCCACGAGCGAAGAGTACTACAAAGACCCCTCGACTGCCGCCGCTGCTTTCAACTATGTCGTGGGCCGGAAAGGTGTTTCGACGTACGAATCGTTTCGTTTCTTTCGATTCACACACCTTGTTAAATCCAAACTCCTATTACAGATTGTTCCACGGTACTCAGGCTGAGGAAACCAAACTTGGTCTCTTCGTGGGTTAGTTTTTTTTTTTTTTAGATCCTCTTCTCACACTGAACGCCTGGGATGTGCCGTAGCTTGGGATAGTCACCAGGATTACCAGAAATTTGTCGTCAACGATTATGTGGAGCACGCCAAGCTACGAGAGTTGCTCGCTCCGACACGGAGTGGAACCCCGGTCGAGAAAGTTCACGGGACGTTCACTACGGACCCCTATCCCGCCTTTCAGGCTCCAGTGACGGAGTTCGCATTCGTCAAGGTCACATCGGATGCCGACGTGGAAAAAGTCGAGGCGTCATTGAACAACGTAGTCGCTCTTGCTGGTGACCCGACATCGCCCTTGCTCGCAGCCGCGACAGGTTCGCTTATCGACCAACCGACTACGCTTCTGTTGGCTGTCGGTTGGAGTAGTATTGAGGTATGACTTGTTCGAGACGCGTTGACCGATATTTCCCTGAACCCGGTTTTCTCGTTTTTTCCCCTCAGGCTCATAAAGAGGCAATAAAAGGTGGAGGGGCCCTCGACAGTATCCTCCACCTGGTCACCTTGCAAGTGTACCACTTCTACCTCAACCAGGTCAAGCGCGAAGGTGAAGGAAATGCTGATAATCGGTCCGCCTTGTAAATTACATTCCCATTACCAATTTGTCTGGCTGGCTTGGCTTGTGTCGGCCTCGATTATTTGAGCGTTTGTTTTGAGCGCAATTGTAAAGTATTCGTATCCGTGTCCGGAGTTATGTAATTGGT